AAAAGACTCAAGCAAGACCCACACCTCACTCCATACACAAAAACCAACTCAAGGTGGATCATGGACCTAGGACTAAAACCAAGGACATTTTAGTTTTTAAAGTGACATCCTTGCTCTGAGCACTGTTGGCATATTTTCCCCAATGCAATAATGTCTTTTGATTTCTTGACTGCTGCCATCGTAAGTGTTGATTGTGGATCCAAGTAAAATGAAATCATTGACACTTTCAATCTTTTATCCATCTATCCTGATATTGCGTAGAGGTCCAGTGGTGAGAATTTTTGTTTTTATGATGTTGAGAAGTAATCCAAACTGATAATTGTAATCTTTGATATTCTTCAGTAAGTACTCATCTCCTTCACTTTATGCAAGCAAGGTTGTGTCATCTGTAGATGAGTCTCCCCCCAATCTTGATGTCACATTCTTCTTCCTATTGTCTAGCTTCTTGAGTTCTTTTCTCAGCATACAGGTTGAATAGGTATGGAAAAAAGATACAGCCTTGATGCATACATTTTTTTCTTTATTTTAAATGATACAGTATCCCCTTGTTCTGTCTGGACAACAGACAACTGCTTCTTGGCCTAGTATAGCTTCACTGAAGGCACTGGCAAAAATTAAGGCCCAGGAATTGATGAAATGCAAATGAAATGTTTTGGCAAACAGTATAGACCTAGACATGCTTACTAGTTTAAGTCAAGAAATTTGGCGGACAACTGCTTGGCCAGTTGAGTGGAAGAGATCTATATTTGGGCCCATTCTAAAAAAAGGTGATCCAACAGATTGTGGAAATTATTGAACAATATGATTTGTATCACATGCAACTAAAATCTTGCTGAAGATTATGTAAAAACAACTGAATCTACAGGGAATGGCTAGAAATTCAACCTGGATTCAGAAGAGCCTGTGACACCAAATATATCATTGCTAATGTTGGATGAAAGCAAAGAATATAGAAAGATGTTTACTTGTGTCTTTTTTACTATGTAAAGGCATTCAGTTGTTTGGATTGTAATAATGTATGGATATAATTTTTAAAAAATGGAAATTCCAGAATATTTAATTGGGAAATATAGAGATCTGTTATTAATAAAAGAATCCAGAATTCTTTTTCATAAAATTGTTGTTGTTGTTATGTGCCATCGAGTCGTTTGCGACTCATAGCGACCCTATGTATAACAGCCCTAAACCCTGCTCTATCCTGTGCCAATCGCATTGCCTCTGACATACCCATTCCGATTACCCCAGTCACTGAATCAATCCACCTCATAGAGGGTCTTCCCCTCCTGCGCTGTCCCTCTACTCCACCCAGCATGATGTCCCTCTCCAAAGACCTGTCTCTCCTTGCAACATGTCCAAAGTATGTCAGATGAAGCCCCAGAATCTTTGCCTCCAAGGAGTAGCCTGGTTTAACCGTCTCTAGGATGGATCTGTTTGTTTTCTTGGCAGTCCATGGTACATTCAACATTCTTCTCCAGCACCACAGCTCAAAGGCGTCAATTCTCCTTCTGTCCTCCCTAGTCATTGTCCAGCTCTCTGATGCATAACAAGTGATTGCAAAGACCATGGCCTGTATCAGACGCACCTTCGTCTCCAAAGAGACACCGCTGCTCTTGAGTACTTTAGAGAGGTCCCTAACAGCAGACTTTTCCATCGCAATACGTTTTTTGATTTCCTGGCTGCTGGTGCCAAGTGTGTTGACTGTGGAGCCGAGCAAACTGAAGCTGTGAACAATCTCAATCTCTTCGCCATCCATCCTGATACTACTAGTTGGTCCAGTGGTGAGAATCTTTGTCTTCTTTACATTGATTAGCTACAGTAATATGACACATTTCATTCTTTTTTCTATGTATTTTATAAGAAATTACAAACTGTCTACTTTTATAATTTTATTATTTCATTTTTTATTAGCATAAACATTTTCTCTTGTTCCAAAGTATTGAGAACTTGATCTTTAATGTTGTTGTTTTTTGGTGCTATCAAGTCAAATATGACCCATGGCAACTCTATGAACTGCAAATCTGAACCATGTCCTATCCTGTGCCATCCTTATATCTTCTGACACATTAAAGCCCATTTCAGGAATCACCATGTCAATCCACCTGGTTGAGGGTCTTTCTCTCCTTCGCTGACCCTCCACCTTTCTGAGCATCATGTCCCTCTCCAACGAATAGCCCCTCCTAACAACATTACTGAAGTATGTGAGATGAAGCCTCATTATCTTTACCTCCAAAGAGCAAGCTGGCTGTACCCTTTCCAAGACTTGTATGTTTTTTTGGCTCTCCATGGGGTGTTCAGCTCTATTCTCCAGCACCACAGCACAAAGGCATTGATTCTTCTTCTATCATCCTTATTCATTGATGCATAGCAAGTGATCAGAAAGACCATGATCTGAATCAGATGCACCTTAGTCCTCAAAATGTCATTATTACTCCTCAATAATTTGGAGAGGTGCCTAACTGCAGATTTCCCAGTTCAGTATCTCTCTTGATTTCCTGACTGCTCATACCAAGAGTGTTAATTGTAGATCCAAGCAAAATGGAGTTGTTGATAGTTTTAATCTCTTCTCCATCCATCATGATGCTGCCTATCATTCCAATGGTAAGAATCTTTGTTTTCTTGAAATTGAGATGCAATCCATACCAAAGGCTATATATTCTTTGATCCTCTGCAACAAGTGCTTCAAGTTCTCCTCACTTTCAGCAAACATGATTGTGTCATCTGCATGATGCAGGCTATTGATGAGTCTCCGTCTGATCTTGATGTGTCATTCCTCTTCATAGAATCCAGCTTCTCAAATAAATTGCTCAGCATACAGATTGGATAGTTATGAAAAGAGACTACAACCCTGATGTACTCCCTTCCTAATGTTAAATCATGTAGTGTTCTCTTGCTGTGTTCGCCCAACAGTCTCAGTCAAGGTATACGTTTCTCATGAGCACAATTAAGTGCTCTGGGATTCACATTCTTCTCAGTGTTAGCACTAACTTGTTATGATCCACACAGTCAAATGCCTTTGCATAGTCAATAAAGAACAAATAGACATTTTTCTGGTATTCCTTACTTTCAGCCAGGTTCCATCTAACATCAGCAATAGTGCCATGGTTTCTTCTAAATCCTGCTTGAACTTCTGGCAGTTCCCTCTCAGTGTACTGTTCTAGCCGTTTTTGAATGATCTTAAGCAATATTTTACTTGCATGTGATATTAATGATGTTATTTAATAGTTTCCACGTTCAGTTGGATCATCTTTCTTGGGAATGGGAACATATATGAACCTCTTCCAATTGATTGGCCAGACAGTTATCCTTCAAATTTCCTGGCATAGGACTGGTGAGTACATCCAGTGCTACATCTATTAATTGAAACAAGTCAATTGATATCATCAATTTTGGGGCCTTACTTTTTGCCAGTATCTTCAATGGAACTGTAATTTCCTCCTTCATTACCATTGGCTCCTTTTCATGTGGTACTTCTTGAAATTTGAAGCAGGATTGGCTATCCACTTTGTAAATAACAGACCTCTGAAAACCCTATGAACGGTAAAGGAATAAAGATTGTTATAGTAGTAGTTGTGGAACCCAGTCTAAATGAGGAAAAATAATGGCGAACATCATTTAATAATTGGAGCATGGACTATTTATAGCTTGAATGTTGGGAAACTAGAAATTTTGAAAAATGAAAGGTAACACATGAACATTGATGTTGTTGGCATTAGTGAGATGAGATGGGTTAATTTTGGACACTTTGAAGTAAATAATCATGTGGTATAATATGCTGAAAATGAAAAACAGAAGAATGGTGTTGCATTCACAGTAAAAAGATAATTGCAGGTTCTATTCTGAAAGACAGTGTAGTGAGTGATAGGATGTATACATCCTATGTATACAAGGAAGGCCTATATATGTTCCTACATCTAGAGCAAAAGTGGAAGACACTGACAGTTTTTACCAAATCTTCCAGTCTGACATTGACAAAACATGAGATCAAGATGCGTTAATGATAATTGGTGACTGGAATGCAAAAGTTGGGACCAGTGAAGAAGGAATATTAGTTGGAAAATGTAGGCTTGGTGATA